TCTGGACTAAAGAGGAGCGACACCATCCAGCTTGTTATGAGTGTACAGTTCAAAAGCTTGCATCTGTGATGGCATGGGGGTGCATCAGGGGGCAGCTGTGCCTCAGTGGTAGAATCGGTCATCTCTCAAGCGGAGGGCCGGTAATTTGATCCCCAGCTACTGCAGCCACATGTCACATGTGTCCTTGGGCGAGACACTTAACCCTGGGCTTCATTGGCAGCATATGAATGTGTATGAATGGGATTAGTTAATATGGACACTTTACATAACAGCCTGAGCCATCAGTGAATGCATGCTGCACGGAAATGATTGCCAGCGTCCAGACCTCATTGAGAGCGGAAATTGACTGAACTGAAAGGCAACTGCTTTGACTCTTTATTTCTTACTCCAAGACCTTCACTATGTTCCTTTTCAGAGAAACTGAAGCAGGGCTATCTTCTGGCTGTGCTCATACACCTGCCCTTGCTGATAAGTAAACCTCCTGCTGGAAACCTGTTGTTGGAAACATAATAGAAAAATCTCCAGTACTGGTTCCCAGCCCAGTGCCAGTTTCCAGTGGCTGCTAGATTGGCCGTGAGGAGAATTTAAAGCCCATGAAATATGAAAAAGGCCACAATGTTGGCCCAGAGCCTGGCCACCCACTCAGCCCTTGGGCGGAGGTCCCAACCCATCACATCACTGCATCCACCCTGTGTGAGTGGTTGCCTCTGCCCATTCACTTCCACACACTATTTGCTAAATTGGTTACACACTGCGCCATCATTATGATGAAATGAGCCCTGATTGCCCAATGCTTTGCCAGGTAAAATACATTTGTTATTCTATTACAGCTTGATAGACAGGGTTGCCCAAAGATAAATGCAGAAAAAAAAGGTATTTGGCGTGACAGGGCTTGCCAGGGGCCATTTTGGCTCCAATCAAACGCTTTGTGCCAAGTGGCAGAATAGGCGCCAGCTTCCACAGCAATCTCTGCCACCTGTGATGGATGGCCCAATGGGTTAGGCTACACAAACGCAGCTGTGATTGCACAGAGCCATAATGGAGGGAAAGGGGACCTGTGAGCAGGAGATAGACAGAGGTTTTTTTTATAAGCTTTCATATTGCTTTGAGCTGAAACATTGAGAGCAGATTCAAAGCTTGGACTGTGGAGAATTAGCTGCGGTCAGCCATAGCTGCTCTGCTTTGCACTGTACCATGACAGAGAAATAATTGAACAAAAACTTTGAACTGCTAGTCAAGCCAAGCACACAACATTTGGGATTACACAACAAATCCTTTGACTTTGTCAATTTGAGGGATGTGGAAAGTGCTTTAGATTTTCATTTTTTCCAAATATATGCACGGATAGATGCCCATTTGAGGTCTTGTGTAAAGGTTTACAACAAAGCAAATAACTATATGTGGATTTATTTGGTCTTCCTTTTGAAAATCGTTTATGCACTGACAAGACCGATTCATCTTTTACCCTTTTGTGTTTACTGGCAGCAGTTTCTCAAAATGTCAATCTTACATACATATTGTCTAAGATTTCTGAGGCATTCTACAGTGTCTTTGAAGGACAAAAGCAAACACATTTAATTCATGTAAAAAAAAAGAATGTGTTTGAATGTAAACAAACATTTCACTTAATGCAAAGAAAACACATTTTCACAAATCATAAAAATTTTGTTTTTTCTGTTTCATTAGATATTTTGGGGGTTTTGTGAAACCTTCAGGGCCACTTTACATTCCACCATTTACTGGCATTCTCAACTCCTCTATCCTCAGGACTCACCACCAACTTCTCAGTGAAAAATGGCGAACCAAATTGATAGTTTTCGACCAATCAGATGCATTTACTGGAGAATTGTGCAGTTTGGACCCCAGACGGTACAAAACATGTAACAGAAGCAAGAAAATTAGCAAAACAAACGTGCTTTATAAGCACTTCCACAGACCTTTTTACACCCGTTTTTTCCAGGCACGCAATAGCGACCCCAATGAAAATGGCTCTGCAAGCCATTTCTGGGTCCCGACCCACCAGTTGAGAACCACTGCTATAAACCGAACAGTTAACTAATTAATCATGAAAACAATTATTAAAGCAATCTGAAATGAAGATCCCAGTTTGAAGATACCATGTCTTTATTTGATTGTATTTGTTTTGGACATATCATATCATTTTGGCGGTTTTACCCGGACTTTTCCAGCCAGCCCCCCCAAGTAAAACTTCTGCATGAAGTAGCATTGAGGCAATGTGTGAGTAGATTTAACCCATACGACGTGCTACGGTTATGATCACGCATGCAATAAAGCACTTTCGTACTCTTTTTCTGCTTGTGAGAATCAATCACTTGTTTGTTTATATTATAAATACATCAATCACACATAACATCGATATGAAGGGACAGAAAAACATGTCATCATAATGTTATAGTCTCTCGCTTTGCCTGCCAGCTTGGATTTCCGCAGCGTCTTTTTTTCATCATGTCTCACCTCCCGTCTAACAGGGAAAATAGCACACTGTGAGGGACATGTGTGAATAAGTATCTCAGGGGCAGTCTGTCCTGAGACGCTCTTCTGAAGGTTTCAGGAATGCATGTGTGAAAACAGCTAAAGTTGAATGTCTTGTAGGCACTGATTGTCAGACAGATCACTTCACACATGGCAAACCTGTGATCACAGACATTCAGGAGTGGGAGCAATTTGTCCATTAAGACTGAAAGCAATTATCACAACATGAACAATCTGCATAGTGATTGTAAGGGGTGCGGAGTCAGGCCCCCATTAGGGACTGAGGATTTTTTCTTGTTATTTCTGTCTCCTCTCTGTCCTTTCTGTGTCTGTATGGCACACTAAATCATGCTACATTCATGAGGCCTCAGGATAAACGACATTATTTTTCTCAAATTGAAATGTTTTCAACTCAGTGAATCCATCTTTGTGTTTCTTTAAACCACCGTAGGCACTTGTTTGTGTGTCTTGTTTGTACCCACTTGTGCCTTTCTATTTAGTTTTATGATTAAGCCTTGTTTGGCATTCTGTCGAGGGAGATTGTTGGAGGGTACTATCAAACCCTAGTGCTCTTCTTATTTACATTACTGTGTGTATCTGAAGTTATCAGTGTTACATTTGATTTCCTGCGGTGAAAAATTCTCGCAAACATGGCAGACGAAGCAACAGAGTCGCTATATGGCGCTTCAAGGAGAACTTTTGCCTTTTGCTACCTGAGAGTCAACACAAACATAATGTCAACAAAATAGCAAAGGAACATACTGGAAAGAAAAAGAAGCAGTTTCATAAAGTGCACAGATTGCAATGGTTGCTAGTGTGATGTCATTTTTTTGTATTTCTATTTTAGAGGTACAGACATTTAGCTCATTACCTGCCCCTGACCACAGTCACAGCTGATAGGGTTAGCCGCGACTATGCCAACCAGGGTCACTTTGTGTCTCCCCTCATATTTGGATTGTTTGGTAGACTTAGTGTCTTCTCTCCATTATCATAAATGTTGTCATTCAAGTTTTAGGTAGAGTAATAAGTGCCTGACTTTAGCATCATCTTCAAGATAATACAAAGCCTATGGACAGGCTGACAGAACTGGCTTGACAAGATACTGTATCACATGTTTGCTGATAATGTAATTTCTCCATGCGAGTCATACGTAAACATCTTCAATTTAAGCCGTCTGAGTCTCCTGAATCTTTCTTTCTTCTTGAAGTCAAGTTTCCTTAACGATTTCCTCAACAGCTATAGATACAGTCTATGGTTGTGTACCAGCTGCAGAATATAAACATACCCACTACCTTTCATTTTCCTGATTATTTATTGCTGCTTTCCTACATTGGCTCCTTTTAACTTAATATGAACACTTTACTCGGGGGCTGGCTAGGATATCTCTCACCCAGCTCACCCTGAAAAACTTCAGGAAGCTTTCAGGAGTCTTGTAGACATTTAAAAGCACCAATAGTGACAACAAAAAGTGTCAATAGTTCACGAGGGACTCATGCCACCCCTGACCAACCCTCCATGCATGTTACCGGGGGATTGTTATCTTTGATCTTTTTGAAAGCAGGGTCACACATATCGACACACATGGAGTATGTGGAAATTAGCAGTTGTGTTTTCTGTTCCTATCGATGTTCTGGTTTGAAAACTAGGGATATATACATGTGCGTATTAGCTGGTTCTGGGCTAACTCATTGGATGATTTTTACTATGATACATTTATTCTGAACATGTTCCTCTTCTGCCTCTGGTACAATGTGCTATTTATTTTACAATCTTTTTTTCCACACTTCTTTTGTTCTACCTCAGGCTGCATAGGGAAAAAAATACAGTAGAAGAGCCACTTAAACATAGATAAGAGCTTATTTAGATAAGAATCCCTCAGATAACCTAGAAAGGGTAGCAAAGAGTACTATACCAGCTTGTGAGAAGTACAGGTACTTGTAACTCGTGTAGATGAGGACTGGCCTACTTCAGCTACTTATTTTACTGTATGTGTAAAGTAGAGCCTTTGTATAGTGCCTCAGGAGGGAGCAGTAATAGGTCCTATTGACGTCCTAAAGAAACATCATCTGTGTCAGCGTCAGTTCGGGCTAATAGTAGGTTTGAAAAAGTGAAGAAGCTGGATTCAGATAAAAGGAAGGAACCAGACCTCTATAACGTCTTGGCTATAGGCTCACAGCTCAAGGCCACAGTTGCTGCTATACTGGCAATAAATATGTGAATCTGTGAATCTGTGAATCTTTATAAGTTCTTGTGACATTATTGGTAGTACTGTCTGCCACAAGGTTTTGACAAAGAGTAAAATATGTATTTGTTATGACAAAAGTACATATATGCACCAGGGCTATAAAAGCCCCCTGCAGGAAAAGATGGCTGACTTCACTCAGGCTTCTTCCATTAATATTTAAAGTCTATGATGTTTACTTATCTAGTGTGTACCAGTGACTGATCTCCAACAACTGTGTTGCATTTAAGTGACATCATTTTGTAACATGTTTTTTTTTCCACAGAGAGACATGCTGGATGTCAGTCAAATCATGAAGGACCTGGCCAGTATGGTCCACGAACAAGGAGACTCCATAGGTAAGATATTTTGTGTGTTGCATGTGTTTTGAATAGTGTTTACATTGTTGTTCCAATTAGCAGAGATAACCTTTGCGGTCTTGTTTTTTTTTTTTTTCCGATATGCTTGATTATTCACGTAAGCTAGAACAGTCTGCTGGGCAAAACAAACTTTTTAACCTCCACCATGCAGCCACGCTGTGAACATTCTTTGATGAGGAGCAAAAATGCTCTGGGTTTATACAAACTATGGCCTGTTAGAGAAAATCCATTTAGACACCCTGATATCTGTAAACGGCTCTCCACGCCCTGCAGTGATTCAGGCTTGGCAGAACAGAATGAAAGTTAGCACACCGATAAAGAGCAGATATAGAGGCACGGCTGCTGGGTCATAAATCTGCCATCAGCTATGTTTGACTCCATCATGAACATTCACCAGAGGATCGGCTGATGCTCTATAATGTGAACCACAAAGACAAAGAGGCAAACTTGAAAAATATTGTTGTGACGGGGTTGTAGATCAATTGTGAACTGAGTGAAAGGTCTGATAAGGCAGATGGCTCTCCAAATTGAGGTGAATGCTTTCAGCTGTAGTCTGTGCGGCAAAACATTTTCAGCTGTGGCTGGAGGAGGTTGTGTTCATGTGCAGTTCAGCTTTTGTCTTATTCAGATAAACAAGAAACTGTGAGGCTGATTTCACCTTTTAACCCTTCGATGTCTGCAATTGAAACGGTTAATAAGTGCTAACATTGGGGCTCATGTTGATGTCACTTCTAAGAGTATCTCTTAAATATCACATATCCCTCGAATCTATACAACCTAAGCTGGAAGTTTTTTAAATCACTAAACTAAAATTCAGTGCATTCTGGGGTAGTTTTTTGGATAATGTTAATTTCCGTGTTGGAGGCCCACATGTTGTTAAACTCACAGTGTGTAAATTCCCCCACCAGGGGGCTCTCAATCAAAACAATAACAAAAACATGACGTCAAGGCTGGTGGGGAATCGTGGGAGTTCTCTTTGCTACCACCTGTCCCCCCCCCCCATGAAAACGAACTCTGAGTTAACCATAGTCAAGATTAACGGTCGAAACAGACCTGAGGAAGAGACTACGTTTAGAGGCGCAGGAAGTTAGAGAAAGCCACATCCGCCTTCTTATGCCATTGTTTAAAAAAAGTGTTGAGCAGCTGGTTTAGACGATATTATTTTTGAAAGGGAATTGTGTTGTATGGGCGACTTTGTGAAACGTACTGCTGATGAAGAATTTCAAAGACAATGAGCATCAGCCTGACGCTATGATGTCTGCGAGGTTCAAAATCCAGATGGTCATTGATTACTTGATTTGTGATCTCAGCTAACGGCTCTATCACTTTCTCTCCTCTTGTTGAGTGTGCAGGCAGGCCCGAGTGAGTTATGGTTACCCCTCATGTCTGTCAAACTTTGTCCTGACCCCTCTTAAAATCAAAGTTTCTATAAATACTCAAAACAGCCACTTCTTCACTGCATGATCACCAGTGTTGGGACTAACGCCTTACTAAATAACGTGTTACTATAACGCAGCCAACAAATACTGACCAAGGAGTACACACTCCATCCAACCAGCCGGCTTCAAAACATGGTCTGCTCCACGATCTGTAAACCGAATAATAGACTAATAGACAGCTATGTTGATGGCAACATGCATCAACTGTTAATAACTAAAAAATCTGAAAACGAGTACGTGTGTGTGAAATGTGCAACTTATAAAAGCTCAATTCTACCACAGCAACACTGAATGATGTGAACATCAATATGAGAATGGAAGCAAAATGAAGTAACACTGAAGTTATTCCACCAAGTTACGAGTTACTTTTATAATACAGTAACTCCATTGGTAACTCGGCTAGTTACTAATTTTCAGTAACATGCCCAACACTGATGATCATGTAGATGTATTGAGGGATTGGCAGAGAAGATTTGGCAAGTTGTCATGGGCACAACCCACATACTCAGCTCTGCTGCTTATCCCACAAATGCATGTTCCTTATAAATGTGGCAACATTTAAAATCGAAATAAACAGGCTTTCCAAAGGGATACAATTTATTGCCAAGAAGCATTGTTACAACAAAGAAATAATCTACCAAACACAAATGTCCTTACTCTTTGTGCGATGTTTATTTCGATGACCAGTGAAAAATGATGTTGATACAGACAGGTCCAAAACTGGAGACTGAAAAAGGCCAAATTAAGGGCACAAAAAAATTAATCGGAGAGACAATGGCTAGCAGACGTTAAAGGTCCCATATTTAGCTTTTTCTGGTTTTATATGCCCTTTAGTATGTTTTCCAAGTGGCCTGTGCATGTTTAGGCACATCTACATGCAAAAATTCGTGGAAACGCGGCTTCTCCTACGTCCTCCTGTTAGCTGTAGCATTAGCTGCTGTAACACTCGGTTCTAGCCCCCCTCGATAAAAATGTGTCAGTGCGGCTTCATTGTCAGTGTGAGATCACTGATCTAAGCCCATTGGCTCGTTTTGGCAAGCCCTGCAGCTCATGTTGAAATTTCCGAGAAGCGTACTGAGCAACTGACCAATAACAACAGAGTGGATCGGCAGACCAATCAGAGCAGACTTGGCCCACGTGGGGTCTAACAGTGGGGGCTCAGCTGAGCGTAGCTGACGGACTCAGAGCGGAGAGGGAGCAAGGAGGAGCAGTTCATGAAAACAGACACTTTTTTCAAACTTTATCTATTGTGAACGTACAAAAGTAGGAACATAGATTAAATATACGAACCCCAAAAAGGACAGAATATGACCTCTTTAAAGAGATATCAGCTGTATTTGTCGATAAGTGAATTGGATTAGAATCTCATTCCACGCAGTGCGCAGTGTCATTACAAAGACTTAATGCACATTCCAGCTTTATGGTGCTTAACAGTGTGGTGTGAGGACTCAGCAGATGTGTGTGTTTTACTGTGTGTGTGTGTGTGATGAAGAATTGGAAGCAATAACTTCTGCTAATTGCTGCCTTTTTGTTGGAGAGTGTCCTTTTGTCTGCTGCTTTCAATCTGGCTAATGTAGATGCCCTTTAAATACCCTTTAGAGTCCGGCTGACTCACACTGGCCTACCCTAATTCCTACACAATGGAATACCTGTTTCTATCCCCCCAGCCTTATTTTTTCTTCTAACGCACTATTTTTTAATGAGGATGTCTAACATTTATAGAAACTAATGATACACAATATTCAGAAGTATTTTCGTTCTCCAAGTGCCTTTTATAAACACAGCCAAGGTAGAGTTGTTTGTCTGTTTTTTTCACAGAATTACAGCAGCACTACAGACCTGGTTTTCATGACTTGGTGGTAGGTTTTGACATTAGCCGTTATTTTTTCCATATCCGTGACTCATTTTGAACTTTAACACAAACCTCTATGCTTTCAGTTTTACTGGGCATGTCAGTTTAATGGTCCAACAAAGGATGCAAAGTGGTTAAATATCAATGGGGCTTTTTGTGCTTAAAAAAACATCTGCAACATATCCTTCAATGACATTAATGCCCCTTGGTTGTAAATGTAACCACACCTCATGGTGTTCAGAAATCATCAGATATGCATGAACTGCACTGCGTTTTCAGTCGTTTTGTCATTCGCACGTGAAAGGCTGCAGGTGCGGTGTTTTGCACATGGTAGGTAGAGGAACACAGTGTGATCCCACCTAAGTGGGCCAATTGAGAGAAAAACGAGGCCTCAGCGGAAGACTGCAGAGTTTACGACATTATTACACAGCAGAAGTCCAATTTGATCATTACAGCACAGAGTATTGCGATAATGGACACACTGAAATTGCCTTTGGCGTTTTTCAAACATGGCTTTTTTGGTGTAGTGGCGGATATGAATAATATGTGATGTGCTGTGGAGGCGTTTGTATGAACGCAGCAGGTAATACAAAGAAATGAATATGCTCAAGCAGGAAGGATTAGTGCTTTTATGGCCTATTCACGCTGGCTGTGGACACACTATATTAAAGCCTGTGAGCTGAGATACACAATCAACAAGGTTGGTTGAGCAGGCAAACTCAAACTGTGGCACACAAAACAAAGGAGGTGTTAAATACGTATTTCTTTGTGCACATCAAAAGAGAACATTCTCTGTGTTTCTGAAGGTGATTAAAATATTCTGGGATTACACGTGCCGTTTCTGTTGGGGAGTATATTACACAACATATCTGACTTTATTTGCCATTCGGAATGCTGTACAGTACCAAAGGGTCCGAACAGAGTTTCTCCTCTGTTACGGTCTCCTTAAGCAGAATAATCAGAACGAGGCTCAAAAACAAAGGAGCCCATAGCATATATGATGCCTCACAGATATAAGGTTTTAACCCTGAGCTTTGCCTGTAAATATCCCCCCCCCCCCCCCCCAAAAAAAAAAAAAAGAATCAAAGGTAAACAATGAAAGGAATGAAACAAAGAGACTGGAGACCCCTGCAAAAAAAATAAAAAATGGGAAGGCAATGTTGAAAAAGAAAAAGAAATGGACTTGAGCTTGTAAAGCACTTTTCAAGTCTTCTGACTACTCAAAGCGCTTTTACACCACATGTCACACCTACACATTCATACACTGATGGTAGAGGCTGCTGTAAAATGACCATCAGAAGCAACTAATCCCATTCATACACATGCACACAACACCGACAAAGCAGTGGGAGCAATTTAGGGTTAAGTGTATTGCCCAAGAACACATCAGACATGTGGCTGCCAATCGAACCCCCAACCTTCTGGTTAGGAGATGACCGTCTCTACCAGCTGAGACACAGCCACCCTATAGCCAAATAAAGAAAATAGGACTACCAGATATCTCCAGCCCAGACTAAAAACCAATCCCAGCAATCCAAACATCCATGAGTAGCCAAATACTGAAAATCAATACCTGATTGGGGAAAAGGTGAAGAAAACAAAGGAGAGCAAAGAGCTGCTCACCTCCTGCCCAGAGAGTGTGTGTGAGTGACAGAGCTCCTCTGCACCCTGCCACTCTAAATCACCTTCTCATACCTGAGTGCACTCAGGTGTACAGCAAGCAGAGGAAAGAGGGGGAGCAGAGAGAGAGCAGGCCAAGCCTAATACCCCCAAATAATTCTGAATCAGACATGTGCAAATAAATTATGAGGGGGAGAAATCTTTGGCAAAATGTCAACAGTGGCCACAGTGGCGTGAAGGTGGCTCATAATTGAGTTGAGGGGTTGTTCCTAATGAGGCAAGGAGTGTTTTCTGTGAATTTGTGTGTGAAAATCAGTGATATTGAATTGACATATTTCTGTGTACAAATGAAAATGTGTCCTAAAGTCTTAGACATGGAGTTACCCGTAAGGCTTTATCTTCTGGGGTCCATGAATATCCATGGAAAGTTAAAGTAGCAGGGGTACCCAAAATAGGATATGTGCCAGAGAATGAGTAGTCGTTTCCAAGAATAGACTTTTGCAACGACATAAAATATGAAGACACACAGGTGTGTGCATCTTAGTGTGTAAAGAGCTGCAGACACCTACACTGTATCTCGATACCATGTGCAAACTTACATTTTAAGTATTTTAACCCTTACATTTTTTGTTAGTTTTTTGGAAGGCATCTCATGACCTCTGTCTTGCTGGCTCATTTGCCTCCTGGGGTCCCGATCATCACTTTGGGAACCAGCGACATATAGGGCGGCATCCTTGGAAAAGAGAGCACTGTCTCAGGGGGTCCTTCCTTCTTTTTACCTCCCTTCTTTTGTTTCTTATTCATGTATTGATTTGTTTGGGTTAAAGTATCATGTAAAACCTATATTGTTATTGAAAAGGGCGTATTGGCATGGGATTAGCGTTGCCTTCGGACCTTTGGTCATTTAGGAATTACCCCAAAGGTGTTGGTGTTTGGTGCTGCACATTTTAAAGCAAAGTCTGTGATTGAATATCTCCAGGCACTGCATGACATCCACTTTGCCTCCGGTCGCAGAAAGAAGGTGGATAACTTTAGGACATGTAAAGTTTATAAGCTGCAACACAATAAAGCAGTTTGTGATGAGCCCACCACCTGGCTTTTCCCCTAAATTGAAATATTTCAAGACATTGATTGGAAAATGTCTCTGTGCATGATTTAGTAGTTGCTCAGTAAAAATAATTGAAGCGCTGCGGTCTTCTTGTTTTTACAAATCTATACAAAAGGGCGATGAAGTGCACCTACATTGAGGAGACAATGACTCAATGTACACAAACTGTTGGCACTATAAAGGCATTTTATGTGAGCCTGTTGAGAGATAGAAAATGTGCTTTCTGCTCATGTGTCTCAGTACTGTGTGAGTGAGATGAGCCATGCTTTCTAAACCTCTGATTACAATGTCCAACACAGCCTCCATTATTCCTGACCAGTAAAAGGGTCAGAAAAAACCGCCAAGACCATTAAAAAAGGAAAATGCCAGCTCAAATTGCTGAAATGCAGATTCCAAGTGGATTACTATTATCAGAGGGACGCTGTGTTTACTGAAATATGGTCGGTGATCCGCCCTGTAATGTTTACCCTGCAAATTACAGACGTGGATGAATTGCACAGGATTTAAATCACAGATGTCCTCTGCAGTTATAACGAATTATCAGAGGTCCAAAGTTAAAGTTAACCCTGGCATATTGGGCACAAGTGTGATGGGTCATGGTGTGTTTAATATGAAGTTATGAAGCAATTCTAAAATGCTGGAGCGTTGCAGGTATGACTTGATTTTTGCACAATAAATTTACCTAATCTCACATGTCATGGCCATCGACATACCCTTCAACCTAATTACAACTGTTAGGGTCACTGTTGAGTCACATGTTAAGCTTCAGAGCTGCTGAACAAGCTGCTGTTTGTTGTATTGGAGGTTATTAAAGGCTGGATTATAAACTTTAGTTATCTAAATAAACTTTTCTATCAAAATTGATCCGTCTAATAGCTCAAGAGTAAAAGAACTGATGTCTTAAAGAGGACATATTATACCACTTTTCCACCTTTTCAAACAGTCCCCCTGTGGTCTAAATGAAACATCTGTGCTGTGCTTTGGTGAAAATATAACATGAATCAAGAACCAGAGGAGGTTTGTGACCCTGTATAAACCAGCTCTCTCAGAACGCTCCGTTTTGGTGTGTGTGTGTCTCTTTAAATGCAATGAGCCCCCCCTGAATTTTCCCGGTAGACATCACTCCTTCGCTAGCGAGAATAAAAATGGCCGACCTGTGTAAAAGTTTTGCTCTAGACTGGGGGTGGAGTCCATGGGTGGAGATACCAGGGGAGGGGAGGGGATTTTTTAACCAGAATCCCACTGTGACATCACAAGGAGAGCAAATTTGAAACTCTCTGTGGACAAAGGACTGGAATGGTTTTATTCACATTTTGTAGGTCAGTAGATACTCAGGTTACCCAAATATATGTTCAAAAACTCTGTAAAAGTGGATTTCATAATATGTCCCCTTTAAAGCAGGGTTTGCTAATATATGACAACAATTATATACAGTTACATTCATTTTCAAAACGCTTCTGAGGTTTCATGAATAACAACAGCTATGTGGTTCTAATCCAAGGCTTGACTTTTGTCATTCTAAAATCAATTCAAACATAAAAACATTTGTCGGTGAGCTAACGTGCTGTTGTATAACAGAAACACGACTTAAAGGGACGTCGATCGGAATCTGTTTTAAATAAAGAAGAGCCCTGAGCAGAGAGGCCGGGGAAGAATGAGTGAGTCACTCTCTCTCAGGAAGTCAACCTTCCTCTGAATGTCAGCTGGTGACGGTGTGTCCCTCCGCCTTCTCCACCTCAGGAGGAGGAGGACGAGGACGAGGAGGAGGAAATGTATTTAGTCAGTCAGCACCATTCAGTCCTCCAACCTCCTGCTCTTGTGGAGTTCAAAAGTTAATTCTTTACAAGCTCAAGTGGTGCAGTAATTATCCGAGGCCATCACATAAAGAAACCGAGCGGTCTTTACCCACATCTCCAAAGTGGCCTCAGCCTTTTCACTCTCGCAACACCAAAACAATCAATAGCACTCTCGCTTTGTTCCGCCAGTTGTATATATATGTGGGTAATTACCAAATATTTCTGAGCTTCCGCTTCATTAAACGTGTTTTGTCTCAACCCATTAACTTGCTGTGTATCGGCAGCCCATAAATGAGGCCTTGCTGTTTTCGCAGTGTTAACTATCAGACCCGTTGTCCTTGGTAACACTGAGGGGTTGTCACGTAATGCGCTGTCAAGGCTGTGCGTGCTGCAGAGTAACACTATGAACAAAAGTCACTCATTCCATTACGGTCAGGATGATTCAGCAAGTAAGGACACACAGAGATTAGAGGAGAGCACTCTGTGATGTGTTTGTCATGGAGGAGGACAAATACGTAGCCTTCTTTTTCTGTTTCCTCTCAGAAGGACTTGATTAGAGGCAAAAATTTCATTTTTATTTTCTCTAAACGGCAAATGCTTCACCTTGTTGTGTGTCTACATATTGATGGATGCTGCCACAAGAAGTAATGGTACTTTGGAATGTCCTGTTGTCCCTTAATTGCTCAATACATATACAATTAACCATTTAATGTCTGGAGTGTATTTAAAGGTCTAACAGTGCTAATCTTCTACGACGTGATACATGATGTTGTTGTAAAGTACGTTATGTCACATTACTGTTTATCCTGTTCATGATTAAAGGCTTTATATGCGATTTTTCACACTTAAATGTAATAGAAATCAAGTATATCCTCTGAAAATAACTCAGAGTCCTATCTTCAGTTTGTTTACATCGCCGGGACAGCCGGCTGACTCCTCCCCTCGTGTATAAAAGTTGTTTAATTGAGGGACTAGAGAAAAGAAGAATAACATACTGTACTCACTGCTTAACTGTGCTTCTAGATCACGCTCATTTCAGGTACATTTACATGCAGTGTGAAGATACGAGCATAATAAAGATCGCTAGCATTAGCATGCTAACACAACAATGCAGCGCAAGTTGTTTTGGTTTCATGCTGGTGCTCAAGGGGCGACATCTACTGGATCAAAAAATAGCATATGAAGCCTTTAATGTTATGTGTTATGATGTGTTGTAATGGTTGCATTGTCACTATGTAAAGTCTGTTGTAAGGACCCAAGGAAGAAAAGATGTTGCAAAGCTGCAGCTAATGGGGATCCTAATAAACTAAAAGTTTACGATACATCACAACACATCACAACACTCTCGTCCCTTTGGGGAAATGTCTCTTGGACTAAAGTGCTTCACTCATGTAGCTGGCTCCACAGTAGAATCTATTTTCCAAAATGTTTTAACTCCTTCTGTAAAAAAAAAAGAGGCATGTATGATCTCAAAAGATTAATGTGCACAGACATGTGATGTACATATGAATCAGAATATATCAGAATATATAATCCCAAAGGATGTCAGATTACGTCCAATGGATTCTCCTCTGTCCTGGTGATCAGGGGTCAATGAAATGAACACCGTAGATATCAACAGATTAAAAACAATAGCCATTTATTTTAAAATACCACCGGACGATTTTTGTCTCATTACGGTACAATTATGATAAAATGAGCATTTGGGACCCAGATAGCCATGTCACACTCCTTTACCTTGGGATATGGATAAAAGGATGACTATGGATTAATTTATGCAACCTAGCAACAATGAGCGCTAGTGAGTAGCGCTCTGAAACAGAGGTTGTGCAAAAAGCGCTGCCTGAGGACACCGGCCCTAACTTTAGCGACGTTTTGTACAAAAAGAAATTGCAATTTAAATAAAATATGGGACACAAAGGTGGTGCTTAAAGATACTTCTATGAATATCAGAGAGTAACCCATTATAAGTCAACCTGTTCTCTGTTTCCTCAGACAGCATTGAAGATTATATCCAGACCACAACATCCAATGTGGATTCAGCCAATCAGGAGCTTGCCAAGGCCAACCAATACCAGGTACAGTTGACCGCCCCGTGCCGCAGCGTGCTGTGTACTGTTCATTCACTCTGCTCTGTTTGACTTTTTTTTATAGTTGAGTGAGCCCCTTGCTTTGTAATACAGTCACAAGAAGCTTAGCTTGATTAGACATGCAAACAGGGACTCTGCTAACTAGATTACACAGCTTTATCACAATCCCCACTAGCATAATAACAACGATGATGTAATTTGGTGTCATACTTTACTAGCTTTTGCCTTCAGTTAAACTAATTGTATGAAGAGACAGGAAACATGAATTCTTTGCTTGGAGTCTTTTAAAAACACAAAGAAAAACACACCATTCCTATTCCATGAGCCAGTCCTATACTCCTTCAGAGATAATAGTTATGCATTTGTAATTGTATCCTACAAGTAGTATTGACTTAGAGAGGAAATTGCATTAATGGGCAGAGAGAACTGCAGCCAGAAATTAAATAGAAAATGTTTATTTTTCTCTGTGTCTGTGTTTTTTTTTTTTGAGATGGCTTGAATTTCCACTTCACAGCACATATTGGAGAGACGCTTTATGAGATGCCCAAGGGTCTGCTTTCGCTCTCTCTTTTTCAAGGAAGTATATGTGTCTTCTGCCGTTCTGTCAGGGAGTATCTCAGTAGGCCAGAGAGCTGAGTGGCTCTGTGCTGTGTAGGCCTCTGGCGATGGTAAATAATGTATTGACTTAAGTGTCACTGGGTTAATAAAGGATATGTACGTTTTGTGCACAGCTTTGGAGCTGCCTCCCAACTCACCTGCAACCCGACAGTCATAGGAAATGAATTGTTGTGATTTTTTTTTAAAGATAGTGCAAGTTTAATGTTTCAAATAACCAATTTTAGTAATGAAGGGACAGTAGAAGTATAAATGTACAGTTTATTAGCTCAGGAAACTGGTTTATTCTTGCACCACAATCATGTTTTTTTAACTTTCATTTGGAAGATATATGAGCAGCTCTCTCGACCACAACAACAATTGCCGGGCAGTTTTTCAGAGTCTGTCATGAATGCAGCGGTTTCTGTCTGTCCCCTCGTTGCTGCTGCTCCACTAGTGAGCGAACAAATGAGCGAACGGCAACAGCTTTCCAGTTAATTGTCATTTCATTATCTCAAGGAGAGCTGAGGCGTAACCGAGCTCACACTGAGCAATTTAGCTCTCCGCCAATCCGGACTGCAGCCGTCTTAACAGAGAAAGAGCAGCTGAATGGAAGAAAAACAACAAAGGAGGAGACGGACTGGAAGACAGACAGGCACGAAGTTGAGTTACACAGACAGGCAGTCAGACAGTATGGTGTACCTGAGAGAGAGACATTTTTGGGATTTTGCACAGTCCAATGTTGACATCAAACCTGATCAATGTTTTTTCTTCTCTGTGAAAGTGAAAGACTTTGTAGCCCCCACGTACTGTACAAATGAAGAATAACTTGTCATACAAAACAAATCCATGCATGGCTGCTGTCAGCGCCATGGTTTTGATCCGTCGGACGGCGCGAGCCCTGCCCCACTGAATCCGTTTGTGGAACGTGAGCTCAGCGGAGCACAGCCATCAGATACTGTACAGCACATCACAGGAGAACTACAAGATCACATCTTTCTGAAACGTCAGTCCTTGTGCACTGCAGTTTTAACTGGATGTCTCTTCACATTTTTATACACAAATAATTAATTGGTTGATGGTTTACCACAGTCAGCCAGATCTAAGTGTTAACACCTCGAGAAAATTTCAGATTTAACATGAATCAATGAAGAACACTATATGTTTATTGCCACTTGCAGAGGTACAGAACAGTTCAGGTGTATTAGAATTAGTGTGTTTTAGCCGTGTAGTCATCTTTACAATGTATAGAACAGGAGTGTCAAACTTACGGCCTGTGGGCAAAATCCAGCCAGTTAGCAGGTTTTGGGACGAAAGGGGGCATTTAAAAAAAAAAAAATATTAATAAAAGTATAATTAGCAACGTAAAAATGTATTATGATGACACAAAAATGTATTAAACTGGACACTTTGAACTATCTTCTTAGATAACAGTAACAGTAACAACAGTAACAAAAAAGAAGAGTCGCCAAGCTCACAAGCTGCCCCTGCGTTACGTTGATCAGTGATCAGGCTGAACAGAAAGACAGAGGTGACACAGAATGCAGGTTTTCAAGAGAGATGGAAGGAGCGGCGTTTAATTGGTCTTCTACACAAGTTGCCAGAATGTTGTCAGAGCTACGGACGACAGGCGCACAGCTGCACCGCAGGCACATGGAGCTTCCTTTCCACCTTATTATTATCATGTGGTACAAGTCTGTCGATGTCACCATTGATCTGGTGCTCTGATGTGACATGGTCAGTTTGTAATTCTGCAACATGTCAAAGTATCTTACAGCCTTTAATGAGATAGGACAGATGAGAAAAGACAGGAAATGTGAAGAAGAGGCAGTGGGGGGAGAGACAAAGAGCAGAGGTCGGATTCAAACCCGCTGCGATGAGGACTATAACCTCTATACATGGAGCACGTACATAACCACAAGGCTATCCAGCTTGTCATGGGATAGTTTTTTTTATTTATTTCATAGACAGATTTTTAACCCTCAAGTTTTTCAAAAGTTGGGTAAAAAAAAAGGCGGTCAGTGTTTTGACCAGAGGTGCAGATCAAATGATCCAGACCCTTTACCGTGTTGATCAACCAGGACCCTTTTTTAAAACTAAACACTGCAGACTTTGCAGGGCTTAAATCAAGATCAGCTTCAGTTAGATGCGGGTCGTTTGGGTGTTGCATCTGCCATCAAACCTCTAAATCTGCTTTAATTCCCTCTTGGGGCTGATTGGAACAATTTTACCAGTTGGTAGCTTGTATTTACTCAATATGAAGTGAATGAAGCGTGAAGTTGATGGCACTATTGTGAGCTCATAAAAATTCACCAGAGAGGGGAGGCAGAGAGGAGGGGGGGGGGGGAGCAGCCTGAACACTCTTTGCAGTTAATCCGGAGCGCTGATGTAGCCTTGAACACTCCTCGACGCTGGTGTTCATGCACCGCTGCACATCTCCACCCATGGTCAATTAAGAGCGGATGTCATTTTCTTCTTGGGACCCGCCTCGTCTACTCACTTTATACCGAGAACAAATTGAATCTATAATCCATTATGCGAAGGCAGATTACTCTCCCCGCTGCAAGTTTATCTAGTTGCCGTGATGTTTTATCACCTCATCTGTGTTCAGTGGACCACAATGAACCCTGATTGTTGATTGCCGCACAGGATGGTTTATAATTAACAATAAAACACAGATGTTCCAGCAGTTCAGTGAACAAAGCTGTGGCTATTTCACACGTCTTGGAAAGAAAAAAACAATGAAATACCTGAAGTTATTATTGATTGGATCTGCTGTCATTGTAAAGACTTAACAGTCCATCCATCTTCAGAGCTGGAATTGATCTCCCACTGAGAGACTACATCCCTCTGAATCTAAAAAGGAAAATCGATGTCAACACAGTTTTCCCTTGGCTTAATTGAGGAGAATATAAGGCGCTGGCTATTGTGATTGTGTAATGAACAAAAGGAACGTGGAGGAGGGGGAGGAAAATAAGATGAAAAAGGAAGATGGCTTGTAGATGAATGGGTGGACGGATGAATGGACCCATCCACACTCAAGACACAGACAGATTGTTGCCTTTTTGACAAATAAGATAATGAAAAGGAATGGGCTAATCACAGTGGTAAAGCTCTGACTGATCACTGCACTCGGACTGAGGGGGGGGGGTGGTACCAATGCTGGTACATTGCAGGGAAACTGGTTTAGCGTTCAATCCTTCTTCCTGCACTCCCTCTGGACTTTGAAGGATATGGAGGAAAAATAACAATGTTTGAAGTTCCCCTGGTCGATGTCAGTGACACTTATGTGGCTCCCCCCCCCCCCCCCCCCATCAGACACGGGTGACCTGAGCATGTTGGAGGAATAGGAAAACCTGACTTCAAATAAAACATGGATTCATTTCTTAGATGTTTTTCTTAGTGAAACTTTCAGCTTTGATAATATGTAGAATTTAAAAAATATTAAAATATCTAAATTAATTAAAAATGAACTAAACCTACTGCATGTTATATTTATTTATTTGTTTAGTACTTACATTATCTCAAATATTTACAACAGTTATCAAAGCCAGAGAAATCAGTAATTTTATAGTAGTAACAGGACATGTCTTGTCAAGGTGACCGCCATGAAAAAAATCGTTTAACGTTGCCGTGGAAACACTAGATGTTACATCAAAGACTGCGACACAGGAAAGAGAGAATTGCTACAGAAAGCTGCCGTACTGTTGCTGTATGTGCTGCTGCGATACAAACCTCATGGAAGTTATACCAGTTCGTCTTTATTATGTCAGCGCAGAGTTTTCAGCGAGGGGGAGTTGGGGGGAGTAGCAGAGAGAACTCCCATGATTCCCCGCTAGCCTCGACAAGATCTTTTCCAGCATGGCGGCTTCTGCCGATGAGCCTCCAGACCCCCCGGAAGGAACAGATGGCTGACGTCACTCAGCCTTTATCCATTGATGTTTACAGTCTGTGGTCATTCCCCACTCTCTTATCTCCCGATTTCCTTCACGTTCTTAAAAAGAAGGCAAAAACCCAAATATCAAACTTTAAAAAACTCTGAAATTTCCCTGTTTTTGGAAGGTTACATGCCCATCTTGACTCAGAGGCTGAGAACACCTGATGGAGTATCTCATGTTTAATGAGTTAAACTGGTCATCCCAGACAGGCTGAGTCACTCTGAAGTAAGGATGGGGAGGGGCTCAGCACTCTGTGAAAGAAGTTTCTGGGAAATCTCAAATTCTGCTGTGCAAAGAGAAAACTGTAAACAAACCAGTTTCAGAAACATCGTCATCATCTCTGGCTCATCCGAAAAGGACTGAGGCGAAGTGGAAACAATCCAGAAGTCTGATGAATCAAAATGTGACTTCCTGTTTGGAATGGATGCCCTGTTCTCTGGGTTAAAGAGGAAAGGG